GCATATTTCAGTTTCAATTCCACGCTGTAGAGAGTCTCCTACTAAATACTACTCTTCTTTTTGTAGGGTGTGAGTTCAGTGCCTGAGCTTAGCTGAGATCTTCTTTTTGTAGGGTGTGAGTTCAGTGCTTGAGCTTAGCTGAGTTTCAGTCCCTCTCATGTGCTCCTGCAAGGCCTCAACTTTGACTTTGCCTGCTTGCTGTCTGCCAGACTCCAAATCAAGAACTTGGAAGCGGTTTCGCAGTTCCGCCAGTGAAGATAGTCTTCTCCTTCTTTTGTACCTTACTGTGACTCTTTTCCACGGTGCTTTCTCCACTATGTTTGCTCCCTCCACAGCGTTGCCCTACTCTTCCTTCTCAGATTGCTCTTTCACCTCCAGTGCATCCACCGACTGCTGCTCACGAGTTCTGTCAATGTATACTTCGCCTTCCCTTATAGCTTTAAGTGTGGCTACTCACTGGTCCAATTCTCTCACTTTTTCTTCTAACAGTGCCACCAGTTTAGACTTGCTGCATGCGTACACTGTGTTACATTCAGGCACAAAGATAAATATTGCACAGATTTTGCAGGTCACCACAAGTGAAGTGTAGCTCCCCTCCATCATCCCTGTTATCTTTTTGCTTCGATCTGTTTGTCTATGAAATGCCCTTTTGTTTATTTTGTTAGCCTGAATGTGCTAGGGAAGTCCCCTATTATATGTCTCCTTTTCTGTTGTCCCTTCCTCCAGTAGATCTTTTCACCTTTCCCTCCTGTCTCTTGGACATCAAACTCCTGTTAGCTGCCCCTGGTCGCAAGCTCCCTGGGTCTGCCTCAGCTTTATTCCTCAGCTGTGCTCTGTTAGGAGCTAGCAATCATGACACACACACCCGTTTTCCTACTGAGCTCAGCACATAGCCCTTGCTGTTAAGGACACATCTCCTTTCTGTTAAGCTGACCACATGCTGAATCCTGCCCTCAGGCTCAATGAGCCGGGAAGCAGTTTCACTGTTGAAGAGTTAGGTTCACTAAGCCAAAGGCTGGTTGATTCCTTGGGGACAGGAGAACAAGGGTGGGGAAAACAGCTTGCAGCAGACAGTTGTACTCAAAAAGAAAGGTTTGTACAATGTTGTGTATCAGAGGCATCTTTCAGTGAGTAGCAATGCACAAAATATGTTATTACTAATATAATTTTTTAAAATACTCTGGAGCCAGTTTCTCTGAAACCTGTTGTGATCTTGTGCATTGATGGCCCAAGTGACCTTGTGCATAAAGTCTAGGCAGAGGAAGACTACATTTGTATATCATTGTCATGCATAAGCCCTTAATGTCTCTACAACATAAAATGAAAGTTTTGTTTAGCTGTCAAAGAGATAGTATGATCAATCACCAAAGAAATAGTATTAAGTACTGTTTTTAGGGGGGTCGCTAAAGTGATTCACGCACAGATGGAAGGGTTGCTTCAAAGGACAATCACTTCCAGCAAAGCGACCCTTTCCAGCACAAACAGAAGCAGGCCTTTCTCGCCCTCTTATCACAACTTTACAGAAGCTCTATATTGAAAAGGAACCAAAATATGGGGATGCTTGTTCTTCCTTCTGGTATGTTTTCTATTCTTGATGAGTTTTGTCAGTACATATTGTAACTGAAATTTTGTTTCTTCAATTATGGACTGACTTGCACCCATACTGTTTATCTACGCTTCAAGCCTGGTCAATTATATTCATGTTTTACATTTTCTGTTGAGACTATTTGGTCTGCAGACCCAATTATGCTTAATTCTGGGTAAACCCATGTAGGACCGATCTGAAAGTGACTGGAGAAATGTAAACTATAGTGCTTTAAAAACTAGGCAAGAATGGGCTGGCTCCTCTTGCTCCCGTACCCATAGTTTCCAATCTGTAGATACATTTAATAATATTAGCGGTTTCAGTTGATATCCCACTTATTTCATTAACTGTCTAACCCTACTCTATTCCCTGGCATTGTATTGACATGTTTACACAGCTTTCATGCCTCCAGTGGTGTTTGAGGAAGGCTGTTGTTAGGAGATGTTCAACTATCATTGCAGTCACTTGGCTAATTCAGTGAGAAGCAGATGCACCTGACTACCAGCAGGGAGGCAAAATTCATAATGATCTGTTTTGGCACATACACCCTTCCCATTCCAGGGTCTTTGCTTAGAGGGTTGAATCAGGAAAGGGTAAAGGGAAGATTTCCGTACGTAAGCATGCCTATTAATGTTTACTCGTCGATTCACCCACTGCATTCAATGCCTCTCATCCTCATAAACCCAATAAAAATGTGAAGCTTGGTCTTTAGATAATGACCTCAAAAATGTAAGATGTGCAGGTTCCGGGTGTATCAAGTTATAGCAAGTTGATACACCTAGATGCTACACAACTTGAGAGTGCTGTGGTGTATCAAGTTATAGCAAGTTGATACACTTAGATGCTACACAACTTGAGAGTGCCCTGCACTTCTTCAAAAATAGTTATTTTCTTTCAAAAAAATGCTACATACCATGAAAATTATGGAAATATTTGTGTGCTGATTCTGCCTTATTCATTAAACAAATTTGCCATTACTATAGTGCAGTTTATTTCAGAAATGCTACACAGAAAGAAAATTATCTTAGTTAATAAATGTGACTTTCTTCAGAGAAACCATGTTTATATAGCGTTTTTACCATGAAATGTGCCACTATTTTTGTTTTTCAAAGATCTTAACGTTTCTGGCTTTTAGTCCCTGTTCTGGGAGAAAGAAAGGATCTAGGCCAAATAAGTCTCTTCCTGGTCCCTCTATACATTTTATTGCTTTTGCTCTTTTGTCCTCTTCAGCCACATTTTTCAACAACCACAATCTGCTTTTTGAACCTTGTGCTATTTCTTGTTCTCATACTTTCTTTCTTGTGGGGTTTTCTGTGCTGAATGTTTTTTCTTTAATATATGAAGTTGTGTATTTTCTTTGCCTCAGTGTGAAGAATTATCAAATTCACTTTTCCCCCCTCCCTCTTTATTTTTGATGCAGCATTTGGCTTTACCATATTATTCTTATTCCTTGGTTAATTGCCGCCACTGCTCCTGTGACTCTAAAAATGGGAACACAGTAAAATGCTATGACTTTTTAACTTACCCTGATGTATTATTTATTCAAGGGTTTTTATTGCTTTAGGTTTTAAAAACATCTATTTTAAACCAATAATCCTAGACCCTTTTTTGCTATGTTCTTTGCTGTAACATAGCCTAATGCTTTACAAAACTCAAACACATAGTTCCTTAATTACCAAGTAAGTTTCCCTCTGTGAAACAAAAGAAATATACAAAGGAAAGGCTAATCAGAGAAATCAGCTTTTTATTGAAAGCTAGAGGACAAGAGACAGTTTCCTTGTTTACTTTACTGTGATGGTGGGACCTCTAAAGGCTTTGGGCTCTTCCACTTCTTAGACAGTCATGTCAAAATGTGTACTGACAAGCGAGGCTTCAGGGCAAGAAACCTCCACAGCTGCTGCAGTCCCACCTTAGCCATTTCCCTCTGGTACTGCCAGGGGCAAAGCTGCAAAAACAACTGAATTGACATCTCAAAGATACATAGGCTATCAGGAGACGGGCTAAGTGAATATAGCTCAACACTAAAACTAGCCATTTGGGATCCATTCAAACAAAACCAAAGTACGTACACGACTAGAAGCCAGAGATGGGTGACCAGTAGTTTCAGAAGCCATGAGTTTCAATCTATGCAAAGTGGGCATGCTGACTCTGAACATATGAGGGTAAACCGAAAGCCAAAGAGCAACTGCTGCTCTTTCTTTTACAAAAATAAGAAATTGCCAGCTTCCATAAAATAAATTGCAAAGAATTAAAACAATCAAATCTTGCATGCCTCCTGGCAGAGATGCAGGAAGGCAACAAACATTTATATGGTGTATAACAAGTGACTCGGTCTGAGTCAGGGGAGCGTTTCATCCTGCTTCCGATAAGGAATCCTTCTACCTGCCCCCCCTCCCAAATTCTGATCATCGGCCACCACAATAAAGAGCTAGTTCTAGGGAAGAAAAAAAAAGTAAGACAGTCACTCAGCTGGGACTGAAGCAGCTGTATGCGTGAGGGTATCTGAGCCAATAACAATGGAAAAAAAAAAGTAAAACAGTCACTCAGCTGGGATTGAAGCAGCTGTATGTGTGAGGGTATCTGAGCCAGTAACAATGCTTTGCAAATGTCGTGTGGGGATCAAGACTGCTGATGGTATAGAAAAGGTTCTTTATGGTGTTTCATTGGGGATGGCACTTGTCATTTAGGTTCTCTCTAACCAGCCCTCCACCATTACAAAATAGTGAAAACAACAACTTTACCCTATATTATACCACAATGGATTATTTAAGCTAGACATGGTTCACTCTATACATAAAAGTGTACGTATATACACATACAGCATACTTTTTAAATATAACTAATATTAGTTTCAGAGCTAGTTAAGTGTGCAATGTTTATAAATACCTTCTTTTTACTTCCCTCCTACAACAGAGTGGCAGGAGGAGAGAGAAAAAGAAGATCTTTCAATTCATTCTAGTTCTGCATTTAACCCTAAAGTGACTTTGGCTGTGATAGGGATTCTTAAGGATACAATAGCACCTTTCTCATTCTATTGATTTTAGAAGAATAATGATCAGCCTTATACCATAATATTATAGGCAAAGACTTTGACAGTAATGGATAAACTAATTTATGAATGAAACAAAATTTTAGGAGAGGCTGTTAAAAAGAAAATGTTTAACTATATAGATAGAATAGAAAGAACAAAGCACCTCTTGCTGACAACAATGTGCAGCAAAGCCGACTGCTCAAGGGGTCTTCAGACATCTAAGCAACAGGATCAAAGCAAGGTGAGTAGGGGACCGGTTGCTGAGAATCTCAGCTGCTAATGCCCAACCCGCAGGTGAGACTAAGTACACCTGTAAGTACGCCCTGCGTTGGCTTTCCCTGCTTCTCTCTAAAATAGCTAGCTCAATTCAAACACAGTCTTTACCTGAGAGCCGTCTGGGCACATCGGTGATGGCAGGAAGCCCTGTGCCTCGTGTGGAGGACAGGGGAGTTGTGGAATGAATGGATGGTGAAGTCATCTGGCTCAAGTAGGATGGGTAAGACTGGTCATAGGACCATGGAGGGGATGACTGTGCTTGTCTGGGGTCTAAAAATAAAACAAAAGAGAAAATAATTTAAAATGAAAAACTTACAAAAGGAACAGCTGGTGGAATTAAGAGTGTCCAGGTATCGGTTTCTTCATGAAAATAGGAATGTATGAAAAGCAAGAACTCCAAACACTGGCCCTTCTGCTGACTGGAACTGAAAGAATCAGAGGGGCTCCCAAAAGATGAAATTAAAAGCACAATCCTTGATAGCTCTCTACTCAGAAGCAGGTCCCCAAAAGGAAGACTTGCCCCCAGGTAAGTGTGAATAGGATTGTAGCTCTAAGACATACGAATTATTAAATGCCCCTATCGAGACCAGACCTTGGTGAAACAAGGGAAATAACAGAAGCTTCATAGGAAAGTTCACTTAATTAAGATTTTAGCTAATTTTTATTAAGAGAAAATGTATAAAGCACAGAAAGAAAGTGAAACAAAGTGCTGTCAGTTGGGAAAGCAGACAAATTCTCTGAGGTCATTGGAAGTTGTAGGAAGAAAACTAGAATAAGTCTGCAATGAGTGAAGGTATTTGCAAGCTACAGTGAATCTCTACTCTGGAAGTGCTTAGAGGCTCTTGAACCTTAAAAGAGACTTAACAATCTCTCTTGCAAGCCCTGCCATCAATGCAGCGTATCTGCAAAAAGGAATACTGCCTGCATCTGAGAGAATGGACTTTGACTATTCAAAAGATTTTATATTAGAAGAACCGCAGATGCCAGGGACAATGCCTTCCGTACTCCCCTTTGAGACAGCACTTGAGAGCAAATATAAAAATAATATGTGGCAGATACTTCTTGGAATCCCAGTATCTTTAGCTAGCATTAACAAACCATAGCTGGAGGAAACTATGCTGAAATTCAGAACAGTAGCAATATCCATTTCTGTCACAGACATCTGGTGTAAAAGCTGTTAGAGGACCCATCTACCACGTGGCACCATAATATGCTGAAAACTAAGAAGTCCCAATAAAGTCTGCAAAGTAAATCTGCAAATTTAGAGCAAGCAAAAGTGTAACGCATCTTGCATTGTTTGTGAGTCAAAGGAAATGCTGACCTACTGTACACTTGCTTTAAAGTTCTCTACCATATGCTCTCAACATTGCAGAAGAGGTAACAACTTTAGCCAGTATCCTATTCAATATTTACACAGAAGCAGAGCTCCAACTGCAGAAGGTGCCACACAAGCAGACAAAGTGGTGATCACTCCTAACCACATATATGAGTGGTGTTTTGTCAGATCTCTGTGGCAGCTTCCACTGTTGGAGTTCCTTGCCAGAAAATATTGAACAGGATACCGGCCTATGCGTTTAGCAGAAGTGTTTATGGTAAGAGTGTCACAATGTTGGTTATTATTTACTGCCTCTGTATCTAATTTAAAGATCTTACTGTTTCCTTTTGTTTTTTTAGGAGATGAGGAACTTGACTGCCTTTCTGAAAATGAAGCTGAATCTAAAACCTAAAGTCTATAGAAAAATGAAAACTTTACCCAGAGCATGGAAATAATGCTTTAGAACTAAGCATGTCACTTGTAATATGTTATGGAAGTGCATAACAATATAATTTTTGCAAAATACTGTAACAATCTGAGACATTATTTCAGGGAGGATTGCAGCAGGTAATGTTTAATCATTAATTCCAAACTGTTGGGTGGGGCAGGGATTTGGCATCACTATTCTATTTTTAAACTATATGTTATAAAAATAAAAAAAATTAAAAACGGAACATGTAGCGAAGGCATTATTCTTAAAATAACCCCAAAGCAGCTACTTTTTAAATAGGCTTTCAAGTTTTTATTTTTAGAAATGGTTAGGCTATAATCTTGTCTCAACAGAAAAAAAATAGCTTTCTTGCATTCTAGATATAGGGAACTCCCTTGAACTCAAGTCAGATCATTCAACATGGCGTTGACTCTTCTGAACTCTACCCAGAGGTTCTAGTGATTGAATTTGAAACATCTGGCACATACAACATGCACTTTTGCATTGAGCTACAGTTACTCCTGCAAAATGAGCCAAGAAGAAAAGTCCTATAAATTACTCTTCCTGTCATTGTTATTTGTTACATTTATATCCTGCTTTTCCTTCAAAGATGTTTTGGAAAAAGTGGCATCTGGATACTTACTTACACAAGATAGCATAAAAATGCATAGTGATTTTCAACAATACTGTCAAGTAATTTGCTAAAGAAAATAGAAGTTCTTCACCATTCGTTTTTTGTTTTTTTTTTAAATTTATAAATCAAAAGTATATTCTATATAGGAGAATTCACTTCCTGGTAACTATGGTTCTTGCTGCTAGGAAGTTATATTTTGTGTAGTGAGTGGAGACATGTCCAGATTCTTTCATCTACTGACAAAGCAGCAAATCAATTCCTCTTTCTATTCAAGATACATTTTAGCAGAGCTTCTGTTTGAACAGAAATATGATAACTAAATAGTAGAGAACAAATGCCCCCTTTCCAGGAAATTCATCTAATCATAGGAAGCCTTCTTTTTCTCTTCCCATAAAGAAAAAAAAATCATAATTGTAGTCCTTTCTTTTCTTTCTGCTCAGACTTTATTTGTTTGAAGAGATGTCTGGAAACCAGATAGTTCCTTGAAACAAAAATAACTATATCAGATGTGCCCTGGAGTAAAGATATTCCAAGGGGTTTTAGGGGCTCATAGAGCCCTTCGGCCTAATTGTATGTTCCCAGGTTTTGCAAACAAATGATTTCATTCTGAGCCCAGAATGTCTCCATTTCGATATTAACTAACTCATTATGGTTTCCAAGCAGAGGACATATTCTATCTATCAGGGATTCAAACACAGTAAATTTCTTGCTGTGGCACAAGATTGGACTGGACGCTCTCTGAAGTTGATTCTAGCTCCCAGATTCTACATGCTCATCCACTGAGATGCTTCTTTGAGAAGCCTCACCTTAAAATTAACCCCTCCTTGATAACAGCAGGAGGTACAAGTTTAGTTGTGAAGAATGTGTATGTGAATAACAGGGTGACAAAGGCAGGCATTTTTCTAAAGTTGACTTCCAACATACAAAATCTCATCCTCCTATCTGCAATCTGCCTCCATGATTGAAGATATACTAAGAAAAATGGCATTAGATTGAAGTTGTGCCCGTTTAGAGAGAGTTAACTTCGCCATTCAGCCAACTGATTAATTTTAGTACATCCCGACACATCTGCCAAATCTGCTGTCAATGTGATATATGTGATACATGTCAAATGTCTGCTTGGCTGTTGATTCTGTTTTGATTTTGTTGATTTAATTTGTTTTCTTTTGTTGAAATTATACCTGTTTCAATGACACTTCATTAATGATACCTGGATGGGTTTTTTGTTTTGTTAGCATTTCCAACTGTTCAGAGTGCTTCACATGCACTAATTTTAATTTTTACAACAGTCCTGTAAAGTCTGAATACTGCTTATCTCCATATATCTGGGGAGTTTACATCAGAGAAGAGTTTACCTGGGAAATTCTTGCTTAGTAGCCCCATTCATAGAATGAAAGCCCCACTCCTGGTCATATCCCTGAGATTTTTGTATTTTTAATTATTCTGAGCAAGGTATACTAGAAAAATCTATTCCTACACTTAAAGAAAAAGATTGGCAGCAGCAAGAGTTCCCTATTTTGCAAATCTGCCCAAATATTTATAACGTGCACAAATTTATTTATTCAATTTATTTATTCAATTTATATGCCGCCCAAACTACCCAGAGGTCTCTTATTCTATCTCAGAGACCATTATGCTGGCAAGCTGGTGTCCTGCCTATGTTTTGGACTACAATCCCAGTGAGTCCTAGGCAGCACTGCAAATGGCTCTAGACCAGTGATCCCCAACCTTGGGCCTCCAGAAGTTCTTGGACTACAACTCCCAGAAGCCTTCACACCACATCTGCTGGCCAGGATTTCTGGGAATTGAAGTCCAAGAACATCTGGAGGCCCCAAGGTTGGGGACCACTGCTCTAGACTGTGGGAGTTGTAGTCTAAAGCAACTTTAGTGAACTTGCTTGCTTCTCTGTTTCATAGTAAGACACGGGGGCTGAAATACAGTACCAAGTCACAGCTAAAGTAGACCTACTGAATCAGTGTGGATTTGGTGAGTCAACATTGCAAGGTTCACTGCAAAATCCTTCAGGTGGCCTTTCGCTATCCTATTGTGAGCCGCACACACTGTCTTGTGACTGCTCATGATGGGGCCTATGAGATTTTCCCGGTGATGAGATATTTATGTTTGGGTCTCTATGGGCTAGAAGCTCCAAGATGACACATAAATCATCATTGGTTCTGACAAGCACAGCATGCTTTTTCAATTGTTAAAGGCAAAGAACATATGAGAAAGCCCAAAGCTGTTTAATCAGAAGGAACTTGGGTTTGCCCAGAGGACTGCTTAGCACACTGTGGTGGCTGAGATGGAGGAGGGGGCAATCATACACAGAAGCAGGAGATTAAATAGCCTACTTGGCAATGAACTGGTAGAGAGAATTATTAGCTCCTAAACAGAAAAAAAGCACTGATGAACAAGTATTTCTGACTGATGCCTAAGAATCAGCCCTCATTCTGTACATGCCTGCATTTATCCCCGCATGAGTAAGGAAGGTGCTGCCTTCACTGCACGTAACAGACAAGCCCGCCATGCACTATGTTTCTCATACAGAGTTTGGTTGTAGCAAGTCAAGATCCAGCAATTGCAGATGATGTCAGCCTCTACTAACCAGGAAATATCAAATATTGTTTGTATCTTTCTTCCAAAGTTAAGTGGTACTCTTGATTAGTACAGCAGGATTAAACATTCAGTTATCTTCATCTACTTTGTTCTATTCAAAGACACTCTTCTTTATAAATTACCAAGGTACTTCTCATGAAGGTGGTGAGAAGAGAGTCCTGTGTAGAGATGAAAAAAAGGGGGGGGGGCAGAGGGCCTGAATGGAATATATTGATCTGAATACACTTTGCCTACCCTTTTGGTCTGTTGTTTAAAGAAATACATTAAGCACCACTAAC